GGGGCAGTGTTTTGTGAGGCTGGCAAGACTTGGGGGAAAGGCAGTGTGAATACCAAGAAAAGATATCTGCGGCCTATCACTGCCTGCTTAGCAGTTAGGCTCCACGGAGCTGTCCTCAGATGCTGCTGTGAATGCTGTACCCTGCAGAGAGCTTCTGTTTGCAGGCACCCCGTCCATCAACAGGCCCTCACAAGCTGAGGGAGTGCCTTCCGCTCATCATCTTCCTGCGGAACAGGCTGAAGTATGCCCTGACAGGAGACGAGGTCAAGAAGATCTGTATGCAGAGGTTCATCAAGATAGATGGCAAAGTCCGCACAGACATCACGTACCCTGCGGGCTTCATGGGTGAGCGAGGGGGGCTGGGGCAGGTACCTCAAGCAGCTCTGCTGGAGCGGGCAGGGGATTGTTTGGTAAGGCTGGCACGATTTTGGGGCAAAGATGCTTTCCTCGTGGAGTTGAAGAAAATACAAAGTATAAGCAATTGTTACTTAGTTGGAGTCGCGTACTGCAATGAATACCAAAGCCAGACATATCTGTAGCCTATAACTGCCAGCATATGTGTAAATGGCTGTTCAGACTTCAGCCTTTGGCAGTTTTTGGTAATTGCACTATATCACAGTAAAAGATGCGAGCCCATGGTCAAGAGGAGATACTGACCTTGTCATTCACACTTGAAGCATTGTTCAGCAGTCCCTGCTTCTTTTTAAACATTAATTTTGTGCTGAGTTATAGTGTTGGGTAATGTAGCTGATAACAGCTGCTATTTTATTTCCCTCTCTGAAATCAGATGTCATCAGCATTGAGAAGACAGGCGAGCATTTCCGCTTGGTGTATGATACCAAGGGCCGGTTTGCTGTTCACCGCATCACAGCTGAAGAGGCCAAGGTGAGGGGCCTCAGCTTGGTGTAAGCGTGGGCCCAGTCATTGGTCAGGATGTTGTTTCCTCTTTGGTTCTCCTGAGAAGATCAGGGTCTTCAGGATTGGGGTCTGAAGCCTTTGGCGGGGGCAACTGTTTTGGTGATGTGAGAGCAACTCCCACATGACTGCAGGTGCATTGTCTGGTGTTTGAAATGACTGTTATTGGTGTGGGCTGGCTTACCTTCACAGGAAGCTTTGGGCGGGGTTGGCTCTGAACTCCTTCCCACCTCTGTTATGGAAGTGTTTACAAAACTGCCCTCTGCCCCTGGGTGTCGGGGAGTGACTCCCACACGTTTCCTTAACCCAGGCGCATTGGCCTGAGCTGTGAGTCCGTGCTCTCCTTCACGTGGCCTTCCTAAGGGCAGGCTGTGCAGACATGCAGTGATGCTGGGGAGAGAGCTGGCTGTGGTGTGCGTTTGGGGCCTCTTCTCAGCCCCCCATGATACACCTTTACCTCTGGCTACCACTCTGTGTTGACCCGTGAGTCCCGAAGTGGTTGTGAAGGAGTCAGGGGTGAAATGCAGGAAGGAAACCAGGGTGCCCTGGGGGAGGGATACAGATGTCTCTTGGGTCCTGAAGAAAGGTAGCCTCTGCCTCTGCTGTGTGGCCAGGGGCTTCAGGACAAAATGAGGAAACTGCCCTGCCATAGGTTTTCCTGGGAAAATGCAGCCAGTGTTTACGGGGAGGCCAAAGCCTGGGGTGGGCAGCTGTTCCCAAAGCACTGGTGTTTTCTGGTGGGGCTGTAGCATAGCCACATGGCAGCCTGACAAGGGGGAGTGCTAGGGCAGTGAGCTCGGCCAGTTGCTGCCTGGGCTGCTGTTGTGACCCCTGGAGTGTCTGGGTGTTTTGCTTGGCGTCTGAGGTCTGTTGTGACTGGTGGCTCTCTGGGGCATGAGGGTCCCCCTGGTCTGTGGTGCCGCTTACTGCCTCAGCTGAGCGCTGTTGGGTTTTCTTTGCAGTACAAGCTGTGCAAGGTGAGGAAGATCTTCGTGGGCACCAAAGGAATCCCTCATCTGGTTACCCACGATGCTCGCACCATCCGCTATCCGGACCCCCTCATCAAGGTGAATGATACAGTCCAGATTGATCTGGAGACAGGCAAGATCACAGATTTCATCAAGTTTGACACAGGTAGGTCTTGCATCCCACGTAAAACACTGTACTCTTCCCCACCGTGGTGAGCAGTAAATACAAATGCCAGACATCTTTGCTTTAAAGTAGAGAGGCAGTGGTGGCAGCCTTGGGAAAGGGGTTGTTTTCCTGGGGGGCATCTCCACGTGGAGCTGGAGCCAGGGATTCCTCCCATATGCTGGCATAGGGTCTTGGAGTGATTCTGAGAGCAAGCAGGCACCAGGTAGAAGCAGCAAGCTGGTGAAGAGGTTGCTTGAGTGCGGCTCTCATTGGGCTGTGGGCGGAAAGCTCTGGGCAGCTGCAGGGGATTCCTGGCTCTCTGCTGTGGGAGAAGGTTTCAGTTGCAGAGCCATGAGCAGTGCCAGGGCAAGTGGTATGGGAACATGTCCTTGGTGCCGATACAACTGAGAAGGTGGTGGGAAATACTTGGGTACGGCCCTTGAGGCTGGAGAGCTGTTTGGCTCCTTGAGGTGTGCCAGGGTTCCTGTGGGACACAGGTGTCACCAGGTGCACCGGTGGCAGCTCTGTAGGCCAGTGCGGCTCTGCCCCTGCCCTTCTCCAGCGGTGCTTCTCAAAGAGCCCAAGCAGAAGGGCTTCACCACGGCACCTTATGCCAGCTCTTGTCACACCCATCTTCCTTCACCCCAGGTAACCTGTGTATGGTGACCGGCGGTGCCAACTTGGGCCGTATTGGGGTGATCACCAACCGGGAGAGACACCCTGGGTCATTTGACGTGGTTCACGTGAAGGACGCCAATGGCAATAGCTTTGCCACCAGGCTCTCCAACATCTTCGTTATTGGCAAAGTAAGCCTGCGCGGACACAAGGCGGGTGGGTTCTCTTCTGTTGGGGGCTGCTCGCTGAAGCAAAGAGGCCTTGGTGCCTTCTGTAGGCAGCTGCCTTCCCACACGGTGAAGCTCCAGTGCTGGCGTCAGTTCTGGCTCTGCTCCCTGTGTTTCTGCCTCCTCTGGGCTGACCATTACGGGAAGGGGAAGCATTTGTAAATTTAGAAATGGGGATATTTTCAAGAAGCAGCCCTGTGGGGTTTTTTAAACCTTCTGAGAGTTGGGAGCTGAGCAGTGCTCAGATCCTGATGTGACCTGAGCAGCTGCTCTGACTGAAAGCGCCCTCCCCCACAATGCCTCTGCTCTCTCACCATTCTCGATGGGCTCTTTGTCCAGGTTGGAAAAGGGGTGGGGGTGTCTTTCAGTTTTGCCCGAAGTGCATTCTTCATGGACATGACCAAAAGAGGCAGATGTAGGCGTGTACACCTTTGGCACCTTCCTAAGGGGCTTCTGCTGGGCCAACGCCACAGCCATATGTACGTGGCCCAGTGTGGGCAAGGGGCTGACATCTGCTGCTTTTCCACTCCTGAGAGAGAGCTCTGCCCTTGTCTGTGTTTCATGATATGAGGTGGCCGTTTCTCCCTTGCTGCAGGGCAACAAGCCGTGGATCTCCCTGCCCCGTGGAAAGGGCATCCGCCTGACCATTGCTGAAGAGAGAGACAAGAGACTGGCGGCCAAGCAGAGCAGTGGGTGAACTCCAGCTTGGGCCAGCAGTGGTCCTTTCAGTATATTAATTAAACAGTTTACCAAATGGCTGTGTGACTGGCTGGGGAACATCCCAGGGCTGGGGGGAGCCGTGCCATGCCAGTGCGAAGCCAGGCTCTGCTCTCCGGAAGGGCCTGCTGATCTGGGGAGACTCCATGTGACCTGAGCATCTGCCAGAGCCATCTTCCAGAGAGACAAGGAGGAGCAGCAGGAGACCTCCAGGCTGCTCCATCCCCAGGAAGGTGCTGGCACAAGCACTTCTGGATGTCGTTCCCAGGGATGTGCTGGTGGAGCAGGGGGTGGGGAAGAGCCAGCTGGGCTCTCTCCAGGGCCAGTGGAGGGCCTCAGGCTTGAGGCCCTCTGGGATTGCTTTTGGCTGTGGGACTGAGCAGAGGGGAGGTTCTGTGACCCACACCACGACTGGGTGGTGCATTGCCTCCAGGCAGCCGTGCAGAGAGGTGCTGTACAGAGAGGCCCCTCACAGAGGCGCCCCTCACAGGGCCGCTCTTCATTGCCTTTCCTCTGGAGGTGGAGCTTGTGGGAGATCATGATGACAGCCAGCAGCCAGGACAGGGGAGGCCCCCACACTGTGGGTGGCAGGAGCCAGGCTGGAGGCTGGGCAGTTCTTGGGAGGGACTTGGCCAGGGCAGAGGAATGGGCTGTCAGGGACCCCAGGAAATCCAGCAAAGGTAAGCGCTAAGCACTGGCCCCAGGGTTGGGCTGACCAGGGCAGGTGGCTGGGGAGCAGCAGTGGCTGCAGGAAAGGCGCTGGGGGCCAAGGCAGGCAGTGTCCCCAGGCAGTGAGGGCAGTCCTGCAGCCCCAGCTGTGCTAGCAAGAGTGCAGGCAGCACTGTAGGGAAGGGCTTCCTCTGTGCCGTTCTGCCCAGGGGAGGCTGTACCTGGGCACCTGGTGAAGGCTGGGGCTGCCTGGGCATCGTGGAGCGAGGCCAGTGGAGGCCACCTGGTTGGGAGCTGGAGCGCTGGAGGCACAGGCTGAGGGCTCTCTGGCCCAGAGAAGAGGGAGCACAGGGGCTCTCCAGGCCTGCTTGCTGGCATGGACCTTGCCTGCACCTGTATTTCTCCCAAGATGGACCAGGCACAGGCAAGCACTGGGGGGAAAATTGTCTTTTTATTGGCCTAGAAAAGCATCTGTGCCTGAGCAGAGGCTGGCAGCTGGATGTCCTCATGGCAGCTGAATGCCTGGGGTGCCGTCCTCGCGCCCATCCCTCGCGTGCGTCCCTGTGCCGCTCCTTTGGACGCTGCAGAGGCTCACAGCCGGCCGCCATCTGGGGGCCAGCCATGCCTGTGGGGGAAGGAGAGCTGTAGGCGAGGGGCTGGGTGGGTGCCGGGCAAGCTCCTGCCTGTCCCCTGCTACTGAGAGCTTTTCCCAGGGAGGGGTGGCCAGGGCATGGTAAGCTCCTGGGCATGCAGTGCTGCTGGCCTGGCTGCTGCTCGTTGGGACGGCTGGGCTGGGCCTACCCTCGCTGGGGCAGCACTTGGCCCAGGGACATTCTCGTGCATGGCCCTGCAGCTGGAGGAGGGCTGTGTGTCACCTCTGTGCTTGGAGGCTGCCTGCCCAGGGAGAGCAAGAGCACAGGCAGGGGAGGGAGGGGATGTCAGCAGGATGACAAGGAGAGCACCAGGCATCTCCCTGCCACACACAGCCCAGGATCTGTGCCTCAGGATGCCTGGTGCTGGCCGCACATGCATGGCTCACCTGGTGCTGAGGGTCCTGAGCCAAGGGAGAAGCTGCTGCATGTCCTTTGCATCCGCTGCTGGGGCAAGGTGGGGAGTGCCAGCGTCTGATGGAGGGTTTTGAGGCAATAAGCCACTTCATCTTTGTGCACTGCTGGCGAGACGATGGCTGTGCTGCCCTCTCCTTGATGGCCTCCAGACATGAGAGAGGCCATGTTTTCGTCACATGCTGCTGGGATGAGAGGTGCCTCTCCCTGAGGCTCTCCAGCCAAGGGAGACTCGGTGTCCTGAGCTGCTGCAGGTGTTCTTGCTGCCGTCACATCCATGCTTTGTGCCAGGCCCCGTGGTTCCGTCGGCTGCTGGCCGTGTCCCTGGATTGCAGCCGCAAGCTGGCCCAGGACCTCATTCACAAGGCGCTGGGCTGTGTCCTGCAGCGCCGCGGTGCAGGCTGTGGGGCTGTGCGGGGCAGGGACCTGGCTCCCCGCCTGCGCTGCCATCACCCGCTGGCCGAAGGGAGGAGATGCTGGTGCCTTTGCCTCCTCTTGTGCCGTGGGAGCGGGCGGCATGCGGTGCCCCTCGTCCTCACAAACTCTGGCCAGGGCAGAAGCTGCTGTCCCGGTGTCCGTGCGACCTGCTGGGGCAGGACCCGTGCTCTGCACATCACTGTCTGCCTCCCCTGCCGCCTCTGTGATCACTCGCGCTGCTGGGCCAGTCAGGCCCCTCCAGGGGCCCAGTGTTGGGGGTCCTGGAAGAACTCCAGGACCAAAGGGTTGATGGGGCAATGACACTGGCAGAAGAAACGCCGCTGGCAAGCAGGGGCTGGTAGGGAAGATGCCAGCAGCAAGCAGGGAAAAGCTTTTCCCCTGCCAGGCCCTGCCTGCCAGTGGTGTTTTCCCTGCCGGCTGCTGCCAGTTTTGGCAACCCATTGTGTTTCAATGACCTGTTGTGTTTCAGCACACACCCCCCGCCTTGTGGCTGGGGTGCTCCTGTAGCCCATCTCTTTTTATTTTTCTCTTTCAATTCTCCCTCTACATAGCTCTCTAACAATTTTTTTAATTTCCTGCCTCTTTGTCCTGTTCCCTTTCTATTTCTCACTCTGTGCATCTTACATTCTCTATTTTTAATGCCTTCCTGTGTTTGATGCTTTTCAATTTCTTTCCATGACTGTCTCTGTCCAGCTTCCTCTCTTTATTATTATTTTTTTTTTTTTAAATTCTTTCTGCTTTGGTCCCATTTCGTAGTTTTCTGTCTCACTCTTTTCTGTCTCCCTATCATTGTGAAGTGCCTTCATATTCTCTGTCTCCTGTCTGTGCGTCTCATTCTCCCTGTCCCTCCCTGCTGTTCCTGTTGTCCTGCTCGGTCCCTTCCATCTCTCTCCCCTGCCCTCCCCCCCTCCCCCGCCTTAATTCTGCAGCTCCCCATCCTACTCCTCGGTGCACTCCATTTCCCTCTCTCTTTATGCTCTTGTGCCGTTCCCCATCCTTCTCTTGTTCCCAGCACCCCATTTTCTGGCTCCCTGTCCCACACCTCTTCTCTACCTCCCTCTGTCCTTCCTCCTGGCTCCAAGCCTGGTGTGAAGAGCAGAATTTTGGTGGGTTTTGACCATGGGTTGGCTTACGCACCACCGGGCCTGCTGGCAAATGGTGGGGTACACCTGTATCCAAGGGGCAAAAGGATGCTTGCCAGGAACTTAGCAGGTCTTATTGAAAGAGCTTTGAACTAGATTTGAAGGGGGAGGAGGATGAAACCAGGCTTGATAGAAATATGCTGGGAATGGAACACCAATGAGTGAGGGACAGTGTGCTAGCAAGGTCCTTTGGTCTGTCTCCTCAGAGGAAGTGGTGGAGAGTAATCCAAGTGGCAGCAAAGATGCAGAGGTTAATGACAGGTTAGTAACAACTGCAATTAGTCACTTAATTCCTAAGTCTTCTCCCCTCAAAAGAATGGCGGGATCATTAGCCCAACTGAAGTGCATCTAAACCAATGCTCACAGCATCGGCAACAAACAGGAGGAATTAGAAGCCATCGTGCAGCAGGAAAACTATGATATGGTTGCCATCACAGAAACATGGTGGGACAACTCACATAACTGGAGTGCTGCCATGGATGGCTATAAACTCTTCAGGAGGGATAGACAAGGAAGGAGAGGCAGTGGGGTAGCCCTGTATGTTAGGGAGTGTTTTGGTTGCCTCGAGCACAGTGATGGTGATGATAGGGTTGAGTGTTTATGGGTAAAAATCAGGGAAAGGCCAACAAGGCAGATATCACAGTGGGAGTCTGTTATAGACCGCCCAACCAGGAAGAAGAGACAGATGAAACATTCTACAAGCAACTGGGAGAAGTCTCACGATTGCTAGCCCATCTTCTTGTGGGGGACTTTAACTTACCAGGTGTCTGCTGGAAGTACAATACAGCAGAGAGGAGACAGCCTAGGAGGTTCCTGGAGTGTGTGGAAGACAACTTCCTGACAAACTGGTGAGTGAACCAACTAGGAAAGGCGCCCTGCTGGAGCTGTTGTTTATGAACAGAGGTGGCCTTGTGGGGTGATGTGGTGGTTGGAGGATACCTGGGACACAGCTATCATGAAATGATAGAATTCTTGATTCTCGGAGAAGTAAGGAGAGGGGTCAGAAGAACTGCCACCTTGGACTTCCAGAGGGCAGACTTTGGACTGTTCAGAAGGCTGGTTGACAAAGTCCCTTGGGATGTAGTCCTAAAGGGCAAAGGAGCCCAAGAAGGCTG